ACGCGCATGCCTCGCGGCGGATATGCGCAGCAGCAAGAAGGTTTCGGTCATCCCTTGAGGGTGAGTCTAGCCCTGCTCGCCAGAAAGACCCCCCCCTTCACTACAACCCATGTCTAAGCAAAAGCTTCTCGAGGAGCGAGGGGAAGAAGGGAGAACTTGTATCGGCCAGATATCAACAAACTTCTGGGAGATAGTTGGAGACCGCGTCCAATATACGAACTAGATGACGAGCAAGATGATGGAGACCATGACGGTGAAGACCAAGAACATGAAGAAGATCGAGATGGACAGGACGCAGCTTATGAAGATGCTTTGCTAAAGTTGGGTTCAGCAGAGTCAGCCGCTTTGGAAGCTCGACAGATGGCGGAAATCGCACAGAAAGCGCTTGATGATGCTAACGAAGAACAGACGCACATCACAAGAGCGATGTAAGAATCGGCGGATACTACTGCGCCAGTCCGCAAATCAAGCCGAGACCATTGCTCAACTAATCAAGGATCAACTACCACCGAAGCGCTCTTCACAAGGACGACAGGGATCACGTGCGAGGTCCACAACACGTCAGTCTTCATTAACGGGACGTTCCCGTAATGTCGTGAATCAGCAAGAACTGGACGACTACGCAGAGGCCGACTCTCAGTTATTCAATGGTATACTGTATCAGTAGTATCATGTATTGATTGGGCCGGCAAAATATATTTTGCGACGACATGCACCTGTGGAGGAATCGAGTGGCAGCGGACTGGTCGTTTGGAAAGAACTCGAAGCAAAATTCCAGCCAGCGAACGAACATCGGAGACGGAACCTGGAACGTGAACTGGAATCAGCGACCATGCGACCTGGAACGGATCCGGATATTTTCATCACTCATGTGTGGCACCTTGCGGAGCAACTTCGTTTTATTGGAGGAACTGTGACGAATGAGAAGCTTGGAGACATTGTGTTGCAAGGACTGCCTCAAGAATATCAACTGATCAGGTATCATGCCAGCTCGAGGCATGAGTACATGATCTGGAGGACATCGCTCAAACGACGCGGAACATGTAGTACAACAGAAAACGCAAGGATAGCGCCGTCACAACATTCCAGAATAGGAGGAGCTCTGCACGAGACACCGGATAATATTCAGTAATCACGGAAAACGGCATCAATCAAGGCGCCGAGATGGAGGATTTTTCGACCTATCCTACAACAACGATGCCGTTGAGTGTTAACTCTGCCACCGTTTTGGACATCTTAAACGGAACTGCCCAGAGCTGCATTCAGGGAGTGGTCGAACCCCTGCAAGGAACTACAACAGGGACAACAGCAGCAGTGGAATCCGGAGAAACGGATCTACTTTCCAGTCGCGGTCACGGAAAACTCTAGTAATAGTTTTTTTTTAGTTTTTTTTTTGCGAAAAGTGTGGCCCGTTTAGGGGTACGCTTTTTGTTTTGCAAAAAAAAAGCTGTTATGTTTGGGGTGTCGGCGCGTGTACTATGTTATCACGCTCGCGGGCTCTTGTCGAGAGCGTGTTGCACAAAGGAGTGACTCAAGTTCCTTGATTAACTATTAACGNTGTGTGTGTCGACAGAGTGACGTAGAACAACTTGATTGGACAGTTTGCATTGCGGGACTGTCTGCGTTGAAGATCGTTGAGTAGCCACATAGACTATTATCAGAACAGCAAGGAACGTTCTGTGGGAATGTTCTTCGTGGATGGTGCATTACCCCGAGTGTGTTTCTTGTGGATAGTGCATCAGTCAGAGGATTCATGGTATGTTGTTATGTACGTT